GTGTCTTTTTAATAATTTCAAAACATAATTTTTTGTGGTTGCCGAATGGCTCACCCTGTATAAAAAGTAACCATAGCTAAATCTTTTGAACTCAAAATTGTGAACTCAATGAAAAAATTTCCCTCTAAAATTTTGAAATTTGCCTCTAAAATTTTGAAATTTGCTTCATTACCTGTTGATTTATTAATGTTTAAAAATAACAAAAATCACCAATAGGAAAGCAACTAAACTAACAGTGACCTTATCTAATGGCAAAAAGTCTTACTTCACGTCTGAACCAAAACCGATATCATGCAGGGCCGAATTTTAATTCTAATGACTCACCACCCCATGCCATTTAAATTTTTCGAAAGGGTTGCTCCCCTCTAGTAAGGGATGAAATTAAGGGTAAACTAGTCATACAAAAAATGTACATTGTAGAAATCAAAAATCGACGTGTTTCGGCGATTTTCCTAACAAGACTCCAGTAACGAGTTAGATAGGCGGGGTAAGACTTATGATGCTCACTGTATAGTAAGAACACCGGAACTTTAAGAAGGAATTTTACATGAAATTGAGGAGAACCCCGAAACTAGCACGAGGAAAATCGCGGCAACATTAATGTTTCACATGTGCTTGTTTAAAAAATTCTTATCGAAAATTTGTTATATCCATATCACATTCAACAGTCCAGGCATTAGACCCTAGAGATGTCCCGTTGTGTATTAATTTCTGTGAGTGGTTTCTTCAAAACCTGCTGGAAAAATCTGTTATTTGACAAGTACATTCATTTTACCGATAAAGCTAATTTTTTTCAAAACTTAATAATAAATTTCCGTAATAATCATTTATGGTCGGATAAAAACCCTTATGCAATTGTTGAATCAAATCATCAAGAACAGTTCTCATTGAATGTTTGGACTGGCATTATTGATGATTATTTGATAGGCCATTTTTTCTCCCAAGAAGACTTGATGAACAATCATATTTACACTTACTTGAAGATCTGCCGACAATGCTTGAAGACCTTCCTCTTTTATTAAGAAACCAGATGTGTGGTTAATGCAAATTTTAGCTTACAAGTGCGTAAATTTGCTCTAAAATAAATGAGGATTTCATAAAAATATCTGGAGTCATAAGAACATTATGAAGAAAAGTTGTTTTTTTCTTAAAACTGTAAGACACTGTAGCTCAAAAATTAAGAGGTTTACGACATATATGTCGATAATAACTTTACTTCTTAAAATCGCCCAAGGATTCACATCCTTAAGCATCGGCGCTCAATTAATAAACCTACAATTAAAAGAAAAAAATATATGTTTGGGTTGCATTCCCAATAGTCCGGTCCTAGCGGATCGGCCATATTGAGTACATAAGCCACGCACAGTAATACCATTTTTAATGTTTGAAAAATATGCTTATAACGTCTCCTTACATTCTAACTCAATGACAGACTCCTAATTATTTTTCCATTTCACTCTTGCTACAATATACACAGATATGGGATTAATAGGAAAATAAAAGTAGACATTTGGCAATAAAATTTAAATTGGTAGGTACACGTCACGGGACATGGGGGACATAACATTTTCAACTTGTTAAAGTTAATTGCTATTTGAAAATTCTATGAAAAAGAAATTGTCTTAGTGTTAAGGTGTGTGGCTAAAAAAAATGAGGCATAATCCTATGAATAAAGTGACGTTTAAAAATAAAAATTAGTTCAGCCAAAATTTTGAATTTCATGTACTTATACCCTTTTTGCACAAACGAAAAAAGTAATTTTGTTAAAGTTGGTCATATAAAACTAATTCTTTTTTAATATAAGCATGTTTATTAAAGGAAATACAACTTATGATTCATAATCCGAATCAAGGTCATGATCATCAGTCTTCTTCACCATCTGATTGTACATTGGCTCCATTAGAATTACTGGGACCTGGTTCTGAATTTTTGGTAGTTGCTGTTTTGGCCTTTTGTGCTTTCTTCCCTTTAGATTTTTGATGGTTCATATTTTTGTAAAACCCATGATAAATAGGTGTGGAATCTACTCCAGAAGGCTCTGGAGATTATTCAATTTTTCAAGTTTAATAGGCACTGGGGATTTGTTAGATTGCTGCAGTGTTGATTCTAAGGAAAACGATGGACGTCAGACGAAACGTGATCCGCAAGCACATTTTGAAAATAAATACAAACTATCTAGAGCAGGTCTGCACAACAACATACGGCCCGCGGGCCGCTTGCGACCCGCCATTGTAGTTTTCTTGGTCGTTTATCCCTTTACCAATTTAGCCCGCCTACATTAAACTATACATTTTTCAGTAACAAAATTGCATTTATTAATTGCCTTAATAGATATCAAATCATATATGTGGTAAAACACAAAAAACTGTATTGAATAAAACTTTAATGTATTTAAAATAAAACTTAAATAATGTTTATTTTATTTAACAACTTTTGAAAATAAACTATAAATGAATTTTTTGAGCCTCAGGAGCAACGTATTTGAGCGTTGCACCTGCGAAAATCCTTTGCTGCCTACATCCCCCCCCCCCCCCCACCGCTAAAAAAATGATATTTGTTCTTGGCCCTGGTACACCTACGGTTTTTTTGAACTGGCCCTTTGAAAATCTCAGTTGTGCAGGCCTGATCTAGAGTGTGTTTAAACTTAAATGAAAATGTTTCCATATCTTTGTCATATTTAAAATAAGCGACTTCCCAAAATTTGAATGGTTTTCCTTGGGAGTCTTTTTTGAAATCTTTTATTAAGTTGACTAAATTTTTAAAGGAGTAAAACATTTCTTGAGTCATATTACACACGATAAATTTCTTTGAGGAACGAGCAATCACTGTCCTCTACTGATCAAGTATGAATACTTGTGGATTCTTTTTCTTATTTTTCTCAATTAAAGCGAAGTTTTTGTCACATTCTATGTATGTATGGCCCGGTTCTAAAACTTATGATGAATTTATTCTAGGTGGGTAGCTTTAGTTAGAAACATAAATAATTTGCATATATTTTTATTCTTATTTTGCCCGCCACATGAATCACTATATGCTTTGAGTTTGGTAACATTAAGGGGCAATTGCTTAATAAAATGTATTAAACAAGAACCAATTTCTTGTGATCCTCTACCACCTACAGTTTCATCGCAAGTGTACATGTAAGCTTCACTAGTAATCAAATTGTGGACGCAAAAATTGTACGTCCAAAGTTATCTCAGATAAAAGACCTTTGATGTTGTTAATAACGGAGTAGGTAATGTTTGTTGTAAATTAAAGCAAACTAAAGCAGTATCCGTCAAGTTCTTGTGCATTGTAATGTCTAAATCCTTTGCTTTAGATGCTTTATCCGCCTTTCTTTGATGGACTTCCAATAATGTCTTAGCTGATTTCACACTTCTTCATTAGCTGAATGTTTAATAATATTTTGCAAACTATCGCATCTTGAGCAAGTATCAGTGTGAAGTTTGTGAAAACGTAGATTAAACTCTCTATTGAAAATTCTACAGTAGTACGACAACATGGCAGGGACTTTATTGTTTTCAACACAGCGTTATTTATATAAGGAGTAGAGTTTTGTTACATTACGTTTAGAGGATAAGTATCTTGTGTTGTTATTTTCGCGAATAGTGGCTTCTATATCTTGGAAACTGTATTATATGTTGAATAACAAAATCTCTAGTCTCTTGGTCGATTTTATTAACACTGTTTTCCCCGCTGATCAACGTGGCAAATACCTAGATCATCCGTTTTTTTACACACCATGGTAAAGCGCCTATTGTTTATATCAAAAGTTTTTTTAAAAAAATGCCTTGCAAATACGCTTGTTTAGCAGTAAAATTTTTGTAGAGAAATTTCGTGGTTTATCAAATCTTTTCCTCTTTGTTGCGTCTTTGGTTACACAGGAGGATAAATATAAGTCGTAATTAGGTAATTTATAAAAATTTTCAAATAATGCTCGTCTATTGGCTTCAGAAATATTTTCGTTGCATTTATACCTGCATGTGTGATTAAATACTTGTAACTGCCTTTTTCGGTTCTCTACCCCCTGTGTCCTATGTAACGCTTTCCCTCAGTTCTAAGCCTCTTATTATTTCTTTTCAAATCAGGATCTCTTAAATGTAACATAAATATTTTGAACATGCTGAGTTTCAGTTTCTGATTGTTTTGAGTTTTCCGATGAGCTTTCATAAAATGAGCTACTACTTGAAAGAAATTCTTCATCTTCGTCGGTATGATATGGGTCGTCTTGTTCTGATTATGAGTGATATTCATCTAAAAAATACACCTAAAAAATATAACCTCAAAATTACCTATGTTTTTAATAATTTTTTGTTTTACCTTCATTACTCGCCATTTCTTCGATGTTGTAAACTATAACTATTTATTCTTAGACTAAAACGTAAGCGAACATTTACAACACATGCAAGGCACTAATAAATTTCGTTTACTGCAAAAACGGGACAAGTGCACTCATACCCCTTTTGCAGGAACAAATTTGTAGAAATGGCTAACAAGATTCTAGATTTCACCAAAAGACGGCGTTACTGATCGTTAAAAGTACTTATATCCTTTATGCTGTGACAGAAATTTCATTTAACTAGATGAATCTGTACTTACCTCTAAAATGAAAAAAAGTCCCTTGTACCCTTTTTGCTCTAACCCCTTCAATTATTTCTTCAGCCTCCAGTGATATTCGAACGGCAACATTTTGCTATAGTACTTTATAAGTGGTAAATTTTCAAGTGGACTAATAAAAAATTGACTGTTATAGTCCATTGTAATTTAAATTATCCTATTATATTTTCGCATGTTAACCCAAAACTAGTATCTTTTTTAAATATTAAATATTTTATGTTGTATTGATTTGCAGATTTTATTATTCTTTGGAGTAATGTTCCACATTTGAAACTATAGATAAACTTTCATATTTGTATATTTATTTGATTAGACGAAACATTCAATATTATTATTAGATGTCGAAAACAAATTCATTGAAACTTTATATTTTTATTCAATAGAGGAAGCGTACATTGCCGATCTAGATTCCAAATCGGGTGCCAGTCTTAAGCTCACCATTTTAAACAAATCCGGCCGAATATGGACTATGGTAGCAGGAGGCGGAGCTTCCGTAATCTACAGTGACACAATTTGCGATTTGGGAGGCGCAAGCGAACTAGCCAATTACGGAGAATATTCAGGTAAACATCAATTTTTGAACCGTTAGGCAATTTTATCTTTCAACAATTTTTTTTTAAATAAATACCTAGGAATAGCGGAGTCGTTAAAAATACAACGATAATTAAAATAGATAAGAATTTTTTTTAATTGCTGTTAGTAGTCATTAAAGTGTTATTTATAAAATTTGTACAGAAAACGTATTTTAGAAATTTCTGTTGATAGTTACCTAAATAATAATTTTTCTAATGTTTACAATTAAAGGGCTTATTGTAAAAACGTGACAAGCCACATTTTTTAAAATAAATACATTTTTACTTTACGTCAATAAAAAATAAGTTTACAAAAGCCATAAACCAAATGGAAATTCTTCAACAAATGCCAACATTGCTCGAAAAATCCAGTTATTGCATTTTAACAAAATTTTAGAAGTTTATTTTAACCTTTGAAGACGTTTTTCCTCGATAAATTAATGTTGTGGCTTGTAATGTTATTCCAATAAACCATTCAATTTTCATGTTTCAAATCGAAGCAAACAAATAGACGTTTACATTGGACAAACTTGGAAAACAGCACATACTTGATTAAAAGAACATTAGCTTTTCTGTCTCCAAAATTTAAGAGAAACACTGTGTATGCGAACAATTCCATCATATCATCCCTCAGAGAAACATTTTTGTAACATTTCTATTTTTGTATCATTTTAGGAGCCCCCACCGAACAACAAACCTATGAATACGCGAAGACCATCCTTTCGTTAATGACCCAAGAAAAGCACCCGAAAGGAAAGGTATTGATCACGGGGGGAGGTATCGCCAATTTCACCAACGTGGCCGCTACCTTCAGGGGTATCATTACCGCTCTGGTCGAATTCAGAGAGAGACTCATCGAACACAAAATATCCATTTTCGTCAGAAGAGCCGGTCCCAACTATCAAGAAGGTCTCAGAAGAATGAGAGAAGTTGGACAGACATTAGGTGAGTTTTTTGCTTATATATTCCTATAAATTATCCCTTCTTCACAGAACCTTATCCGCCTCGGTGTCCCACACGGATCAGTATTGTGACCAGTTCTAATTTTTATTTATTAAATGATATAATTTATCTTAAAATCGAAGGATTTTAGAATGATATATGACTTACAAGGTTTAATTCTAGATCTCTATTCTTCAAAGTATTAATGAAAAGTCGAATGCAGCAATGCACATTTTACAATTACATTCTTTTCGAAGAAGATGATACGAATTTCACTGGATCAATTATCGAATTAAATATTTGCAGGTATTCCATTGTACGTTTTCGGTCCCGAAACCCACATGACCGCCATTTGCGGTATGGCTTTGGGTACTCGTCCCATTCCATCTGAAAACAACGTCGAGACAGCGACGGCTAATTTCGCTTTGCCTAGCGGCGAAAAAGAACCTAACAAGCAACGTTTGACCAGCCAAGCTACCAGACCTCCTGCCATTCCACCCAGAGCCACAACGGTAAGTTCTATTTTCTTTTTGACGCTTTGACTGCATACTTTTTGTAAATGTGCTTTGATTTGTGTGATTCGTTTTGTAAATACGCTTTGATGTTTGCGATTCGTACTATAAATTGCATTAATTTTAATTTGTGTGATTAATTTTGTAAATATACGTTGATTTTGGCGATTCGTTTTGTAAATTTCGTTGATTTGTGTGATTCGGTTTGTAAACACGCGTTAATTTGATGAACCTTTTGAGTTTTAATAAGATGTCTCTTTTGACGTTTTGACTGCATGCTTTAAAGCTTCGTTTTGTAAATTCGCAAATCGTTTTGTAAAGTGTAATTTGTGTAATTTTTTTTTGTAAACACGTTTTGATTTTTCAGATTAGTTTCATAAAAGTATGATATTTGTGTGATTCATTTTGTAAAGTATAGTAATTCGTTTTGTAAATAGACGTTGACTTTGTTGAAAGTGTGATATTTCTGTGATTAATTTTATAAAGTACATTGATTTCTAAACACGCGTTGATTTGTGTGATTCATATTGTAAATACGCTTTGATTTTTACGATTCGTTTTGTAAATTGCATTGATTTGTGTTATTCATTTTGTAAATATGCCTTGATTTTGACGATAAGATTTGAAAATTGCGTTAATTTGTGTGATTTGTTTTGTAAATACACGTTGATTTGTTTGAAGAGCTTTGTAATTTTGGATATTTGATGAATCTTTTGAGTTTTAATAGGATTTCCCTTTCGACATTTTGGATACATGTTTTAAAACTTCGTTTTGTAAATGTGCTAATCGTTTGGAAAGTGTAATTTGTGTGATTCGTTTTGTAAACACGTGTTGGTTTTTTCAAGATTAGTTTTGTAGAAGTATAATATTTGTATGATTGATTATATAAAGTATAGTGATATGTGTGATTCGTTTTCTAAACACACGTTAAATTTTGCCATTCGTTTTGTAAAGTGTGATATTTGTATTAATAATTTTCTAAAGTACATTAATTTTTAAACACGTGATTTATTTTGTAAATACACGTTGATTTTGGCGATTCGTTTTGTAAATTGGGTTGATTTGTCTAATTCGATTTGCAAACACACGTTAATTTGTTTGAAGCAATCTGTAAATGTGTGATAATTGATCAATCTCTTGAATTTTAATAATATATCATTTTTAACCCTTTGATTGCATGCTTTAAAGCTTTGTTTTGTAAATGTGCAAATCGTTTCGTAAAGTTTTAATTCGTTTTGTAAACACACGTTGATTTTTCAGATTAGTTTTATAAAAGTATGATATTTGTGTGATTAATTTTGTATAGCATAGTAATTTTTGTGATTTGTAAACACACATTGATTTTTGCAAGTCGTTTAGTAAAGTGTGTTTTGAGGTTTAATATGATGTATCTTTGGCTGTTTTGACTGTATACTTTAAAGATTCGTGTTGAAAATGTGCGAATCGTTTTGTAAAGTGCTTTGATTTGTGTAATTCATTTTATAAGTACGCATGGATTTTTAAGATTAGTTTTATACATGTGTAATATCTTTGTGATTCGTTTTGTTAAGTACATTGATACATGTCACTCGTTTTGAAAACATGCATTTATTTGTTTGAAGCGCTTTGTAAATGTGTGGTATTTGATGAGACTTGAGTTTTAATTTTGATTTCTTTTTTGTCATTTTGACTACGTATTTTTGAAGCGTTGGTTTGGAAATGTGCGATTCATTTGTAAGTACATTGATTTGTATGGTTCATTTTGTAAACACACATTGAGTTGTTTGAAGCGCTTTGTAAATATGTGATATTTGATGAGAAGTTTTAAAAGGATTTTCTTTTTCATGTCTTGACTTCATACTTTAAAGCTTCGTTTTGTAAATGTCTGATTTGGTTTGTAAAGTGAGAAGATTTTGTAAACAAGCGTTGATTTGTGTGATTCGTTATGTAAATACACTTTTAATTTTTGAGATTCTTTTTGTAAATGTGATAATTGATTCGATTTGTAAAGTGCGTTAATTTGTGTTATTTTTGTAAACACACACTTTTTTGTGTAATTATTTCTTTTGTAAACGTGGAAATTTCTTGGATCTTGAGTTTTCTTAGGATGCCCTTTTTTTTAGGTTTTTGAAGCTTCGTTTTCTAATTGTGTGATTCGGATTGAAACGTGCATTTTTTTGGTTCATTTTGTAAACTTGCATTGATTTTTGTGATTCATTCTGTAAACTAGCATTGATTTGTATGATTCGTTTTGGAAATGTGTGATTCGATTTGTAAAGTGGGTTAATTTGTATAATTATTTTTGCAAACACATGTTGATTTGTTATTTGGTTTGAAATGTGCAATATTTGATGGGTCTTGAGTTTTAATAGGATTTCGTTTTTGACCTTTTGGCTGCCTACTTTGAAGAAACTTCGTTTTTTAAAGTGCATCAATTTGTGTAATTTGTTTTGTTATATATTTGTGATTAGTTTGTAAGTATGTGGTATTTAATGAGATTCTGAACTTTGATATTTTACTGTTTTTTTTTTATAGCTGTAGTGTGATCTACTTTTTCGTACATTCAGACACCTCCTTCACAAAAACAAATATAACCATTATTTTTATTTAATTTAAAAAATACAGTAATTATCAGTTGTCAAAAACGATGCAAAATGATGGTTATTATTCTCTTAAATTTACTTCACATTCATTAACATATTTATATTTTCCTTTCTTTAATTTTGGCTAAGGTTGAGGACTAATAATTTATAACAATAATAAATATGCCGGTTTTTTCCTAATTTATGAATTAATATATGGCTGATTTTAACTAACAATTTTATTGTACAAAATTTTTATTGCTGATTGTACTAAATGCTTAATGGTAAGGTATTTTTTAAGAAATTTTAAGTGTTCATTAATGAGATTATTGAACTGGTCAAATACCTTTTTCAAACAGAATAATGTTTTTGTTTTGATTTTTACAACCAATTGGGATATTAAGTAAACAATAAAGTAATTAATTTTAATGATCGTTTGTGAAAATGGAAACTAAAGTAATATTAAACCTTTGATATAAATAGACATTTTAATCAATCCAATTTTGTATTAAAATTAAGAAAAACGATGTACCTAGTAGTAATGAGTCTATAAAATAACACATACATTTTTTTAATCTTATTTGTTGGAAAAAGCAACTATTAAATATAGTGTCTTAGTTTTAATAACACGTTAGTGTAAATACACTGTTAATGACAAAACTACGGTATACAATAAGGGAAAACCAACATCCAATTAAAATAAAAGAAAACATGGCTAAACTTAATCAGGGTTACAAGTATAAATCTGCTAGGTTCGCTTGTGACAAGTTCTCCGTGATTCGTTACATTGAAGCTGTGACAAGACAAAATGTTGGTTAAATTATAAAACGGGATTCGTGTATTTATTCCCTTATGTAGACGAGCTATGCAAGTTTCCAGTTTTCCTTAAGACATGTCATGATCTTTCATTTTAAAAATGTTTAAATCCTTTTTTCAATCCTTTCTATTCAAAAAATATAAAGTTTACTTTGATAATAATAAGAAATAATCCGAAAATATATTTTCATCCATCTTTTTAGTTATGAGGATCTTCCAGAAAAGGATATTTCACGCAATAATAATAATAATAATAATAATGACCTTTTCAATAGTAATAAACTAATTAGACTTGTGTTGAAATAATATTCTTAGTTTATTTTCAATAAAACTGGCATATTTTGATTTATGTCACTCTAGCCGAAAATTGACGATCTTGTCCCAGGGTAATTTTTTTAATGTAGCAATATGTCGAACCTCCACATAAAAATATTTGAATTTTTCTATACATTTTTACAATAAGCTCGAATATGGAAATTTTTGAGTTGTGTCATTATATTCTTGTGTATCAATGATATGTATTTTTTATATTTAATAAATTTTCAAAGCAGTAAAATTGAATTTGACGATACATTTTAAATTTTTGATAAATTAAAGTAAACCTGCAAATTAGAAAGTTTGTATTGTAACATTTTTTTATTAATTTATTTACACTAATACATTAATTAATTTAATTATACTCAAATACTTTACTATTTTATGTGGACATTTACTTATAAACTAATTTATATTACGTTTATTAATCTGCACAAACGAGTATCTAACTTAAAACTAACTCAAAATAGCAAAACTCTATTTATATACCCAAATGTTATGCACTTATTTTAAAAATTCTAGAAATCCCTCCACCATTTCTTTCACTGGAATCAAGTACATTGATGCATTCGCCAAAAATTATAATTTCGATATCATATATCGTGGTATAGTGCATTCTGGAATGATAATTTATTTCGTCTGTCGGGTTTCGTAGGTTGACTTATTCTATCAAATATTCTTGGTACTCGGAAAAGGGGAGGTTGTAAGAGGCCCAAATAAGAGAGACGGACTTAAGAGATTAGGGCATGACCGGGCAGATAGAAAATGGCTCCCGGGGATGGTGATAAATTTATTTTGAGAATTATGCAACAGTCGTATTTTTCATTTGATAAAAAACCGTGATTTGGACGATTCCACTTCAGATAGATTAAAACGTGCCACCAATTTTTTTTTCCATAAACACAGTATCGAACCTAGCGAATTTTTATCTGTAACCCAATCAATTACAGCCATTTTTTGGAGTTGAAACACCTTATAGTGACCAAGACTAAACAAACCAAGATAACATATGATTACGCATTGGAAATATATGCCTCAACTGCATTCGTTTTCTAAAGATATTATTTTTTCAAATAAAAACTAATTGCGATGTAAATAAAGCTGGTCATATTTATTGAAATATAAAAATTTAACGATTTTTTTAATTTTTTTTTAAAGGAAAATGTACCCACCCCTGCACACATATCACCACCATCAAATTCACAGGTAATCGCTTGGATACGTTGTTTCAAAGATCACTGACCTAACACATTTTCATTTTATTTTTTCCTAATAAAAGGGCGACGCCAAAACGACGCCGATGTTCACCAAAACCACCAAGGCCATCATCTGGGGCATGCAGAACAGAGCCATCCAAAGCATGCTCGATTTTGACTTCGTCTGCACCCGTAACGAACCCAGCGTGGTAGCCATCATCTACCCGTTCACCGGCGATCACAAACAGAAATTCTATTGGGGCCACAAGGAAATCCTCATTCCCGTATACAAGCAAATGAAAGACGCCATGAACAAGCACCCAGAAGCCGACGTTCTCGTTAACTTCGCTTCGCTGCGTAGCGCTTACTCCAGCACCGTGGACACCTTGGAGTTCCCCCAAATCAGAACCATCGCCATCATCGCAGAGGGTATCCCCGAAAACTACACGAGGAAACTCATTAAATTAGCCGATGAAAAGAAGGTTTCCATCATTGGTCCGGCTACTGTCGGGGGCGTGAAACCGGGTTGCTTTAAAATTGGTAACACCGGAGGTATGATGGATAACATCTTGCATTCCAAATTGTACAGACCCGGTAGCGTGGCTTACGTGTCCAGGTCCGGGGGTATGTCCAACGAATTGAACAATATTGTGTCTAAGGCGACGGATGGAGTATATGAAGGTGTCGCTATCGGTGGGGACAGGTATCCTGGAACTACTTTTATGGATCACATCATGAGGTAAGTTGGTTCATCTGCAAAAATGGTTGTGTTAAAATTGGATCAACTGTCTTTTAAGAGTTTAATAAATTTTTTAAGGTTGGCGTTCGCCCATAGAAATCTGCCGTATATGCGCGGTTGACTTTAAACAAAGCTTTCGGGAAAAATATACTTCCTGGCATTAATTTTAATGTTGAAAACCGTTCATTTAGTGTGCCTAGGAGTTGTGAAGACTTCTTAAGAAACGGAGTTATTCTAAAGTACTCGAAAAATGACTTTCGGTAAATAAACCTCATATAATCGCATTGACTTACCAAGGAATTTTCTTTAAAACTAAACATATTTACATGTTGCCTTTTCGTTACAACCCGTACAATCAACACAGAGAAATAATGATACACTTCAAAATATTGATTAGTTTTTTGAAAGCTTCTTTTAAAATTATACAGTGAGCATCATAAGTCTTACCCCCCAACTAACTCGTTACTGGGGTCTTGTTAGGAAAATCGCTGAGACAGGTCGATTTTTGATTTCTACAATGTACATTTTTGTATGATTAGTTTACCCTTAATTTCATCCCTTACTGGAGGGTAGCAACCCTTTCGAAAAATTTAAATGGCATGGGGTGGTGAGTGATAGCTTATTTTAAAGGGGGTTTTATTCTCTATTCAACCGTGCAAAAAATTTTAAAATTTGCTTCATTACGTGTTGATTTATTAATGTTTAAAAATAACAAAACCTCACAAAATAGGAAAGCAACTAAACTAATAGTGACCTTCTAATGGCAAAAAGTCTTACTTCACGTCTGAACCAAAATCATGCAGGGCCGAATTTTAATTCTAAGGATGAGTGCGCTACGTTAATTTCCGTTATTCTGAAACAACAATTAGTCGAGAATTAATGAAGCAAATTTAAATTTTTCTATCACTCACCACCCCATGCCATTTAAATTTTTCGAAAGGGTTGCTCCCCTCCAGTAAGGGATGAAATTAAGGGTAAACTATTTATACAAAAATGTACATTGTAGAAATCAAAAATCGACGTGTCTCGGCGATTTTCCCAACAAGACTCCAGTAACGAGTTAGATAGGGGGGTAAAACTTATGGTGCTCACTGTATAGAATTTTTTATGAAAACACAATTATGTGGTATATCACGTGATAACGGAAAGTTACAAAGTATTTTCTTTTAATGATTTTGTAAAACAAATTGCGAAATTTTCCAGATAAACAGTTTTCGAGATATGTCCAGACGCCGCCCTTAATATAAATTATGTTAGAAACCAGAATAATATTAATCGTCTTGGATTTGCTTTTTCTCATTGCTTTGAGTCCATAGTTTTGGTTGAACCTACTGACCTGCTGTTACCAACCAGTCACTATCATAAAGTATTCTTATGCACATGTCAGTAGTTCATTTGCAAAATTTAAAACGAATGACAATTATTTGGATTTCAACATTGGTCTAAATAATTATTTGGCACCAATCAATTTAAAGAAATTTCTTACTGTTAACATTAATTTAATACTCAAACAACTTAATTATGATGAAAATCCTCACAATTGTTTAAATCTAATTCTTTCTAACCTTAATGATTTTCCAGAACATACAGTGATATACACTGATGCCTGATGCATCTCCAAGTCAAACCTAGGCAGTGGCTTCAAAGGGAAAATAGTCGGAATCAAATATTTTTGGTCTTAGACACAAAAATATATTTGTTTTCTAGCATAATTTAGATGCAAGTACCACTTTTAATATGTGTAAGAGAGATCTACTTGGAAGTTCAAATAGAAGGTGTATCACTCCACATAAAAAAATAGGGTCCAAATCTGACCTATGATTATTCGTGGACTGTATCAATAAAGAAAGTTTGAACACCTGTGTGATCCATATAGTCTTGGAGATGCAGATACTTGGATTTAAAGGCCACCTCTCACTAAACACTTTTTATTTGAACACGAATGGAAATCAGTTTGATTTAACACTAATACATTGTTAATATAGAGACATACTTTTTACATTATTTACAAATACATTTTCTTGGAAATTTATTAACTTAAGCCATATTGCTTAAATTACTTTATATTTTTTATAATGGCGGGCACAATGTCCCTTTCCATCACGAGTATAGCACAAGTAGAAGTTGGAAAGGCTTTTGGTAGGTAGAGAGGGGTAAACGTCAAACCACGTCGGACGGCTTTGAGAATTTCGCAGTAATGCTTACCTGCCAGTGTCGTTTCATAGAATAATTAATTTTAAATTGTTACAGGCGGAACCGGACAATCGCATGTATTTATGGACTATAAATAAATATTAAACATGTATTATAATATTCAAATCATAATTTGACATAATTTCAACAGCTATTCACTATTTATTAAACTATTTACTCGAAATTGTTATTAACATCTATAAAATAATGTTGTACGCCAGTGTATCGCACCCACTTCGGTTAGATCCGCGGCAAACTGTCAATTTATGTTTATAAAGTGGGTTAACTGGCAAAAGCCTTTCCAACTTCTACTTGTGCTATAACGCATGTGGTATTGTTGACGCGGATGAAGTGGAGCAGTGAGCTTGAGGCTACCGTCGTGATTTTTAACCAATGAGGAGTGGATGACGCTCATGACATACTCATCTGTTAAAGAACTTCCTTATCTGCTGAGATAGTGCAGGCTACAGGGACAACTGTAGGGGTCGTTCGGAAATTAGAAATGCTGAATGCATATTGGATGTAACGTTCAATGTATATTGCATGTAATGTTGAGTAAACTTCAAAGGTTTACGAGAAGTTATGACTTATTTATTATACCATTTAAGTCATAATAAATTACAGCTATTTTAGTTGTTTGTCAAAAATAGTTAGAAATATAGATAGGTTAGACATCGATTTTTCTGTCAATCTATATTCTTTAAAAAATATATGAATAGATTTATATCCTTAAAGTATGAACATTATATGCTAGACACTGTATATTTTTCATTTGTATGTATATGTATTTTTTTCCATAATGGAGTTTCCCATATATAATAAATAATAAATATTTTCAGGTACCAAGCTGACGATAATGTCAAAATGATTATTCTTCTTGGTGAAGTTGGCGGTACAGAAGAATACCAAGTATGCGAAGCTTTGAAAAAGAAGTTCATCACCAAACCTTTAGTAGCATGGTGCATAGGTGGGTACTTCGTATTTTTCTTGATTTTCTCAACATTTAACACATGCTTATCAAATATTTCTTCACTAATTATTGTTAACTGTATTTAACAAGAATTTTTATTCTAGGAACGTGTGCCGGTATGTTTACATCAGAAGTTCAATTTGGACACGCCGGTTCCTGCGCCAATTCAAATCAAGAAACAGCTACCGCCAAGAACGATGCTTTAAAATCAGCTGGGGCACATGTACCTGATTCTTTTGACTATCTAGGTAAGCTTCGCCTTTTCTTTTATAAACAACAACATTATTGCATTAAATAAAATGCTTATATTTATTATCAAACACGAAATTTCACATAATTTCATTTGCTAATAAAATGGTAATATTATATCATTAATAAAATGATTACTACTTGTTAATAAAATGCTTACTTGTTAATAAAACAACTTACCAGCCTTTAAAAAAATGCTTACTTGTTAATAAAATGTTAGACAAAGTAGTCTTGCAGTTATTTGAACTGTTAGTGCATATATGTATATATAAAATGACTCATTAATAAAATTGTTACTCCATAATATGCTTGAGTTGTAATAAATTGCTTGTTATTTTAGTGCATACATATATGTATAAAATGACTCACTAAAATTCTTACTCCATAATAAAATGCTTGCGTTGTAATAAATTGTATGTTAATAATTTGCTTACTATTTTATTAACGCTTTCTCGGCAATAAAACTCGTATTTCATAATAAAATGTCAAAATTGTTGATTTTACTAGGCGATATCATCCAGAATGTATATGAAAAATTAGTGAAACAAGGCATTATTGTGCCAATGCCGGAACTACCCCCACCAACGGTACCAATGGATTACAACTGGGCTCGTGAATTAGGTCTTATTAGGAAGCCAGCCAGTTTTATGACATCCATTTGTGACGAGAGGGGACAGGAACTTATTTATGCAGGTAAAATAATCAATTTTTAATCAATATTTAATAAATCTTTAATCTATTTTTATTCAATTTTTAATCAATTTCTAATCAATATTTAATCAACTGAAATCAATCAATTTTTAACTGGATCCAACAATTAATGCCGCGTTTTCGTCCAATTTTGTTCAGGTATGCCAATCTCTGACGTCCTCCAAAAGAACGTGGGCATCGGAGGAGTAATTTCTCTTCTATGGTTCCAAAGATGTCTGCCGCCATATGTTTGCAAATTCTTCGAGATGTGCTTGATGGTGACAGCCGATCACGGTCCAGCCGTATCCGGTGCTCACAATACGATCGTTTGCGCACGTGCTGGCAAAGATTTGGTGTCCAGTTTGGTGTCCGGTTTATTGACCATCGGTGATAGGTTCGGTGGAGCCTTAGATGGAGCCGCCAAGATGTTCAGCGAAGCCTATGATAAAGGTTAGTTTCGTAATCCGACAGTGATTTTTTTGTATCGCATTCAGTTTATTCCTCGTGTAATGTAATATGTTATCTCTAAATTTTAACTGTGATCTAAACTATTTTCAGGCATGCACCCTGCGGAATTCGTCAATGCGATGCGAAACAAGGGCCAACTCATCATGGGAATTGGCCACCGAGTGAAATCCATCAACAACCCCGACCAGCGCGTCAAAATAGTCAAAGAATTCGTAATCGCCAACTTCCCTGCCACGCCTCTTCTACTCTACGCGCTCGAAGTCGAAAAGATCACCACCAGCAAGAAACCTAACCTCATTTTGAACGTCGACGGCGTCATCGCTTGCGCATTCGTCGATATGTTGAAGAATTGCGGTAGTTTTACGCCAGAAGAGGCGCAAGAGTACATCGACATTGGAGCCATCAACTCGTTATTCGTGCTTGGCAGGTCTATTGGTTTCATCGGTCACTACATGGACCAGAAGAGGCTGAAACAAGGATTGTACAGGCATCCATGGGATGATATTTCCTACGTTCTTCCGGAACATTACAACAATGATAATTAGAATGCATTTATTGATATATAGACATTAAACAGTTTTAAAGTAGGGCCTATAAGTAAATGTTAGGAAACAGAGGCCTGCACTTCAGAGGTAGGAGATGTTTAAATAAAAAGTTAATGTCGAAGCTGTGAAATACTCTGGAATACGTTGATGATTTGAAATTAGCTGATCGCCGCTGAAGTGTGAAAAAATATTTGATATAAAAATGCAGTATCCGATAAATAATTTTCTCTTATCTTAGTGTACTAGTCTCGGTCTGGGATACAATCTGGTGATTTAAAAGCATTCTGTTATATTCTTTCTTTAGTCATGATATTTTCAACCTGCATACTCATTTTTTATGCTTTTTTTGTATTATAGAAATTCTACAATTGATTTATCTTTTCTCTATTTCAATAGATATCAATATTTGTATATTTGAGTGCTTGTACAGTGCAGAGAATGGATAAATCGCAAATATTTTACAATCAATACATACTGTAAGAAGTCTATAGTGCACATAATTACAGAGTAGTTCAAATAAATCAAATTACGACGATTTTGTACAAGCCATGTCTGTGTAGTTTAAATGAGCCAAATTACGACGCTTTATTCAATGTTCATACCAGTAGCTCAAATAAACTAAATGACAACGCTTTTGTACTAAAAAATAGCAAAGTTGTTAAAGAAACTTTTAAAGTTTTTTCATGATTGTAGATAATTTACTAGATCTTACTGGCTCGTTTGTACACAAATATATTAGGAGAAAATTGCTTTATCCAGTTGCATACTGTAAATATTTCTTCATACAGTTCTGAGTATAATTTCATGGTGTATAACTGCTCTTGCCTCGAGCATCTGACGTAACAGTTGGTCGACGGGTGCAACTTATTCATGCACAGTCAAAGTTTTAAAAAAAATCACGATGTTAATGTAAAAAAATGCACTAATTCAATATATTAGGTGAAAATTTTAAAAACCATTTTTTTTTCTTAATAATTTATTAGTTTCCAATTTGTAATTTATATTTTTATATGTATGTTTATTGTAAAGTGACGACAGCAGCGTTAGTTTATTAAGAAACTTGGCATATATTTTTAAAAGATGGATAATTGTGTGTGTTTCTGACGCACAAGCTGGTTATGTAATTGTTTATTTTATTATTCAAATAAAGTTTTCAATTAAACTGTTATTGTGTAATTTGTTTTTCCCTATTAATTTTCCAGTCAAAATTATCAAAAAAATGTTAAGATCTAATTTTATTAATAAAATTAAAAAAAATCGCAATCTTTACCTAAATTAATAACCCTCTTATCAAATTTGATAACTATTTAAAAAGAGGTCATGAAATAATTACCAAAAGACGAAATAAAATAATTCAAGGTATTTTTTTCCACACCAACTTTTTATTGAGGCATATTTCGCCCAAATAATCTGTCCTATAAATTATAGTCCAATCTATATATAGAAATGATTTCTCTATCTCATAAATTATAGTCTGCACTATATACAGTGAGCACCATAAGTCTTACCCCCCCCCCCCTATCTAACTCGTTACTGGAGTCTTGTTGGGAAAATCGCCGAGACACGTCGATTTTTGATTTCTACAATGTACATTTTGGTATGAATAGTTTACCCTTAATTTCATCCCTTACTGGAGGGGAGCAACCCTTTCGAAAAATTTAAATGGCATGGGGTGGTGAGTGATAGCTCATTTGAAAGAGGGTTTTATTCTCTATTCAACCGTGTAAAAAATTTGCTTCATTAATTCTCGACTAATTGTTTCAGAATAATGGAAATTAACGTAGCGCACTCATCCTTAGAATTAAAATTCGCCCCTGCATGATTTCGGTTTTGGTTCAGACGTGAAGTAAGACTTTTTGCCACTAGAAAGTCACTGTTAGTCTAGTTGCTTTCCTATTTTGTGAGGTTTTGTTATTTTTAAACATTAATAAATCAACACGTAATGAAGCAAATTTCAAAATTTTTTGCATGGTTGAATAGTGAATAAAACCCCCTTTCAAATGAGCTATCACTCACCACCCCATGCCATTTAAATTTTTCGAAAGGGTTGCTACCCTCCAGTAAGGGATGAAATTAAGGGTAAACTAATCATACAAAAATGTACATTGTAGAAATCAAAAATCGACCTGTCTCGGCGATTTTCCTAACAAGACCCCAGTAACGAGTTAGTTAGGGGGGGTAAGACTTATGATGCTCACTGTATAGAAATAGTTGTTGCTCTGTCCCATAAAGTATAGTCCATGGAGGAAGTTTGTATAGTCTATACTCTATAGAAAGGGTTACTCTGTCCCATAAATTATAGTCTATAGCAGTGGTTCTCAAACTTTTTTGGTGACGTAACCCCTTTTTGAAAAGTGAAATATTTGACGGAGCCCTAAAACACATTTCGGAAAAAAAATCCTTCCTTGCTCTAGCCTCTTGCCAGGTCCCTCCCGTTTCTTTGCGAAACACATACAACAAAATTCTCAAAATCATATACGCCTTCATCTTCTTGACTTCTAAAAAAAAGGTCCTCCAGCCGAAAATACCAAATCGTATACTCCTTCCTCTTTCCTAACGTTTAAAAAAAAATCCTCTAAGCCGACATACCAAAACTCATTTACTCCTGAAAAAACAATAGATCGATCCTCAAGCCAAGTCCCGTTGTAGCGATAGGTACTACTTATTTTCTTCGCGGAGCTCCCACGAAGGCTTTGCGGAGCCCAAGGGCAAGGTTACTCTGTCCCATAAATTATAGTCTTCCGTATATATAGAAATGGTTACTATGTTCCGTAAATTATAGTCCACTACATATAGAAATTGTTGCTCTGTCCCATAAGTCATAGAGGTTACTCTGTCCCATAAGTTATAGAGGTTACTCTGTCCCATACATTATATAGTCCACTATATACAGAAATGGTTACTCTGTCCCATAAACTATAGTCCATTCTATATATAGAAATACTTTCACAAAATTAGGACTAATCTTCGCCTCTGTCACGAAATAGCACATATCAAAAGAACACCTGAAAGAAGTAGCTCTTATTAAAATAGCGTCAGTCAAAACAGCGCTTTTTAAAATAGCACCAGACTAAAACAGTCCCTTAACGAAGTGGCGTCCATTAACACAGCGAATTTCAAAATAGTGAACCAGTGCCAGATTTTAACAGTGCTGTTTTAACTAATTTACCTAACCTGCGTGCCATGGAGCCCTCGTGAGTTGCTTCACAAAACACTTTACATAAAAGAAACAAAATTAAATTATACCTAACCTGCCTAACTATGTGGCGTGACGCATATGGCTTCGTAAAAGTTATACATAAAATAAAAAAACCAATTTACCTAATCTGTAAATTTTACTGATCGCTCACGCACAGGTTATGTAAGTTGGTTGTTTTTTTTTTTAATTTCTCATTTTATGTATATTTTATTACGAATCAACATGTAAGTACTTCAGATGCTGCACAGGTAAGGTAAATTAGTAAAAACAACTGTTTTAATCAGACCCTAGTTCGCTCGACAACTATTCGATGCGCGGCGCTATTTTAATAAACACTATTTTGGTCAGGCGGTGTTTCATTATATGTTATTTTGAGTAAGCGCTATTTCGTTACACGCTATTTTGATTAGGCGCTCAAATACAATAGCGCTATTTTGACACGCGCTATTTTGACACACGTTATTTCGCATAACAGAGTCCTACTTCATATGTAATTTATACAAGATTAAAATGAACAAATTTAATATATGAATTATCCTAATTTGGAAAAAACAAATATTTGAAAATGAAATAAATATTACCAAAATTATTCTTTGACAACTTGTTGAAAAGTGGCTGTATACTCATTCACAAAAACTGGTGATGCCGTAGTTCAATTAAATCGTATCACGCCACTGACGCAGCCGTGACGTTTCAGTGTCATACCTGTCAAAAGTGTCAAATCAGTCAAAATTTTAAATGTCAGAATGCAACAAAAATCTCACAACTCTTATTTAACATCTATTTGTATTTAGGAAATGAGGTCGAGTACAAGTTTTATAAACTAATAGAAAATTCGCAATATGGAAAATTATAGTGGTGTAATTTCCTATTTGAGTCAACAAATAGGAGTGACTGAACCGGCCCTCAGATTAATATTTACTCTTCTGGCTGGTAAGTTTATTTATACATTTTTTAAATATAAAACGCATTTTTGCACTTGACACTATTTAAATATAATCTGGAGTACTTTGCCACAGTCCAAAGTAAAATGTTAAAGTTAACTAACTTTTATATTGTAAATAATATGACCATGGTAATGAAATTTAAATTTTGTAACCTTCTATAATAGTTTTACAGATGTTTTTGTTATTCTGTTCCAAGGAAATGAAATAAAATAAGATTTAATAAATAATAATAAAGTTATAAGATCTGGGCTTTTTTTTATTAAAATCATCACATTCTTTTAGTTCTACAATGTCTTTTAAATTATATTACTGTTGTTTAATTTTAAATTAATATATAATTTTCCAAACATTCCAGAGGTGTCACATCTATTTATAGAAAGTAAAATTGGAAAGTTTTCTGTTTAAATTTGATTGTTATTAATTATTTATAAACAGCCACATCACAAATAAAAAATAAGTAGTGAAATTGATTAAGAAGACCCTGACATAATCCCTAATACATTTATTTGTTCAATATTTATGATCTTGCCACCCATTTCTCCTGTATAATTATATTGATTATAAAATTTGTGATTTTTTATATAAAAAATGATTATTGAAAGCTGCACCTCCTGGCTTTGCCAAATTTCCAACCACAAGGTCAATTTTTTATCACTTGTTTGTGTGTTTAAAATACTTTTTATTTTTATGGAGGACAATGCTCTTTGATGTATTATTAATACAAAATTACATTGATAATATTTTTATTACTAGTATTATTCGAGTTCAGGAAAGCATTTTAGCCCATGAAGCTGAACTTAAGTTATCTGATACAATTGCTTTTTTATTCAAAATAATGATTAACAATTTTATATTAAAAGTAGTAGATGTTCCCTAAGATGTACCACGAGGTTGTCATTGTGGGCTGATTTTATTTAATTTATTCATTAATTATAATTTTTTTAATTCCTAATCTTTAAACTTAGCACTTGTATAATGTGTTTAAAAGGCTATTTAGAAGGTTCTGTGTATAATTTTTGTAATTTTTGACAGATTTGTGCTGGAAAAATTTCAAAATTCTTTAAGCACACAAGATAAATAATTACGAGAAAAAGCAGAAGTAAAAAAAAATTAATAAATAATGATATTTCATTACTTTTTATAAAAAAATATTAGTATTGTTCAATGAACATTGATATTCACCATTTAAATCATTCAATTTTGTTCAAATATTTTTTATTCTCTCTTTTTTATAGGATATCCATTAGCTCTTATACACAGAAAGTTTATCTATGACAAAAAACCGTTATTGCAACATTTGTATTTCATCGTGACAGGATTTTTACTTGGGTTTTGGAATTATGGAACAGACATTTTTCATTGTGTTTTTGCAACGTTATTCACATTTGGCACGTTGGGGATCTTAAAAGGTACTACTGCAAGTGTAGTGGTTACTTTTGTTTTCAACTTAGGGTACTTGCTTCTTGGTAAGTTTTTTTTTAATTTAATATGTCATTTAAACCCCAACATTATTCTTCAGTCACGTCAGAGCTTATAAGGTTAAACTACAATATAAATAATTTAATTACATACTTTTTATGACCTTAAAACTATTAAAAAACCACAACACTTTTATGTTAAAATAAATTAGAGAATTATTTGGTTTTGTTTGGCTCACTGATGTGTCATACTAATGCAGGCATGACATATATTATATCTTGCTTTGACAGTCATTGCATCATTTTATGGCTTACTTATTATTTTTGTAAATCATATTTTTCATAATATTTACTTGTAGGATATAACTATGCAAGTACTGATAACTATGACATAAATTGGACTATGCCGCAGTGTATTTTAACTTTAAGACTAATAGGTAAGACATATTTGAATTATTTCTTAATTTTGGTATTATTAAAAGAAACTGAATAATTTTTTTAGGTGTTGCATTTGATCTATTTGATGGACGACAACCAATCGATACGTTGTCTGCGGATAGTAAAAAACTGGCTCTTTTACAGCCGCCCAATCTTTTAGAAATATTTGGCCACGCTTTTTTTCCATCGTCCTTCTTAGTGGGTCCTCAGTTTTCGATGAAACGATATTTAGAATTTGTAGATGGGAAATATAATGCTAAGGTAGGGTTTGTTTATTTCCTTGTCAATGGTGTACTGTTGAATCATCTAAAATTGTTTTGATGTTTACATAGTATTGAAACTTAAAAGTTCTATTATCTTTTATGGGTCATAAATGTATTTTTAAAGCAGAAAACGTTCAATAATAATTATTTAATATGCAATAAAATTATTATACTTCAGTTCTGAAAGTTTGTAAACTGGCAATGTGAATGCATGTGCGTAGGTTAGTTTTTAACCGGCTTCAAAAAAGAAGGAGGTTCTCAAATTTAGTATATGCAAGCAGAGCCATAACATAAATATTGATTTTTTATTGTGTCATAACTTTTAGCGAATTTATTGCTAATTTATTATTCCTATTTTAATTTTATTACTCCTATTTAAATTTTATTATTCCATCGCTTCATTGAAAAAAAATGTGGCTTTGATAGCGTACGTGGGAGCTAGCAGAGCCACAAACGATTTTTTTTATTTTTTATAACACTATAATTTTTAGCTAATTTACTACCCCTTTTTTAATTTTATTGCTCCATCTCATTTAAAAAAAAACGTGGTATCTGCTAGCGATCGTGGAAGCTAGCAGAACCACAACCGAATTTTTTATTTTTTTGCTACGCTATAATTTCTAGCTAATTTATTGCCCCTTATTTAATTTTATTACTCCATCCCTTTATTGAAAAAACGTAGATTATGCTAGCATACGTGAAAGCAAGCAGAGCCACAACTGAATTTTTTATTTTTTACTGTGCCATAATGTTTCGCTAACTTAATACCCTCATTTTAATTTTATTGCTTCGTCCCTTCAATAAAAAAAAAAACGTGCCAGTTAGCAGAGCCACAATCAAATTTTCGGTTTATTATTTTGCTATAATATTTAGCTAATGTATTGCTAATTTAAAACCACTATTTTAATATTAAAATAAAAAAAGACAGTTTATTTGACGAAGATTTTTATTACCTCGTAATATGCGAAATTAATCCTAAATAACACTGTTATTAGATACTATATTTGAGCCCTCGTTCTTGTTGAATTTTGGAATAGAATCGTGAACCCTTTAAGGACGTAGTTACCGAGAAACAGGTTAAAAGTTAGAAACCAAAATTCAAAATTTGTCATTAATAAAAACGCATTTAAATATTTTTTTCAAATTTGGTGACTAATAAGCTCTTTAATACAATAATATTTTGATATGAACAAATTTTATAAATTTTTTAAATTGTCACCTCTTATATGTTTTTATGCCATTAGTTATATGTAAACAAAAAATATACTACATCGTGTCTTGTATATGACTTTTTTATGTTTTAACTAGATTCTAGTGTGCTAGATATATACCAAATAATAAAATTACTTATTTCTCTAATTAGCATCATTATGACAATAACATTGCACAGCGTAAATAATCTTAAATGCACTATTAGTAAATGTAAAATGCCTTAACTACCATAATTACTTGAACTAGGGTTACTGCCTATTATTAATTGTGTACTTAAATATATATTTTTTGTTTTTCAACTAAATATATATTCTTTCTTAGATTGCAAAAATTCGCGGAGAATGTCGTTACAATATAAATTTTATTCGTTATTAAGAGGAAAATTTACATTACAAACTGAAAGACCTGCGGGGCAAGGGTAGTTTAGTAGGTATAAAAATTACAACTTTAGGGTGGAGCCTAAATACTACAAAATTACTTCCGAGACTAAACAAAACCTGCATTCATTCATAATTTTAACAATTGCCTGTAGATACGAGGGATACGTATTCCAAACTCTAACGCGCGAAATTAAGACAAGAAAAATCCTAACACGGAGTGAGTCAGAGTTTAGTCCAGTCATTATAGTAAGTTCACCTCGGAATTCGAGATACCCAACTGTAAGTCTGTAAATACTTTTATATTGACACCCTAAAAGTTGTCTTAAAACCTACATATGGTAGGGTGTACGCAACTATTGAATTTCAAGGTCAAAGGTCACAAAAATCGGTTTTTTGCGCTTTTTTTGTAAACATCTCATTTCCTATGGGTTTTTTGCTATTTGTATTTATTATCAATATTGTAGAATACAAAATTCTCTGAAATTTTATTTAAAAAAATTTTTCATACGGTGAACCGTTTTCGAGGGCGGAGAGCGCGCGGTCACAGCATCACTTCAGGTCAACCAGTGCCTCCAATCGAAAACCCGCCATATATAGTTGATGAACTATCGATAAATCAATGATTTTAAATCTTTGTCAATTTTTATTAACTATTGTATTATATTTTATCATTTTTTTCCTAACCAATCCACTTTTTATTCAGTATTAATTTATTTAACAACACTTACCTGCCCATGTAATTGCAGAATTGGTAATGAAAATATAGGAATTATATTTGAATTTTAACCTAATTAATATTAATACCTTCTTACATGATGAAAAAAAAAACAAATAAATTATGAATTAATCTTTTTATTAAAAAATATCATTCAATACATTTATTTTTATTAAAATTAAAAAAATGGAATAAAGGGTACAAAAACTAATTTTAATCATCTTCTTCCTCTTCATCGTCGTCTTCCGGCTACTGGTAAATTTCAAACTGGTCTTCATTATCGTCTTCAACGACATTTGTCTCAAGTTCTATGATTTCGGGGTCAAAGGTTCCATCTTCGTTAATGTCGCTATGGTAGAGCATTGAGACAAGCTTGTCCATTACATTGGCCACAAGCTAAAGAGCATTTCAAGCCCGCTTTCCTGCATCCGTATCGCGAACCACAACCACTCTTTTAGTTGCAGAAAATTGTATTTAGCAAATCATCTGGAGCAGGTGGTAAAATTGTCATGATAGGCTCCAGAAAATCATTTCGCATTGCCCAACCCCATACCTGGGGTTCCAAATCATGCCCTAACCAAGTTTGAACTTGATAATATACACGTTTGAAATGTTGATGAGCAGCTGCACTTATTGGTGGAATATTTGAAAGCTGCACAGGTTTATTAAGTTTTGTAGACTTGACGTAATGCATATAACGAAGATGATCGAGACTTTTCACAAATTTCGGAGCATTATAGACTACCAATAAGGTTTGAGTTCCATTCTTTAATAATCTCTGGGCCGAACATTTTTCTTCCTCAAATGCTGCAGCTAGTACGTCCAAATTTGTCAGTTTCTCAAAAACTTTTAAAAATGATTTTTTTCCCTTTTTAAAAAGCGCAGAAGTTGTGTCACAGCCACTTAATGCGTGCAGAAATAAAATATGTGTTTTGGAATGAGGATAATTATCAAAACTTTTAGTCGAGTATATCTCCGTTTTTACATTTCCTTTCGCAACTTTTTTAAAGAAAATTTCTTATTCGTAAGAGAGTGTACGCCCAATTAAAATGACAAGTAAATCAATATCTTGTCCTATTATAACTCCAGTTTTTTAATTCTTTTAAGTCTTTTCTTCTTTCTTCTTTTTCTTCTTTTCTTTTTCTTCTTTCTTTTTTCTTCTTTTCTTCTTCTTTTTAAATTTTAATTCTAATTTAAGACTTTAATTCTTCAATTGCAGTTTCAACAATAAGAACATCCGCATCATCTCTGGATTGTTTAGTAGTAATATTTGCACCTTGTAATTTGTCAATTAACATATTAATGAGCATATCTTTGTTATTTCGATTTGATAAGAATTTTTCTTAAGTAACTGGTACAACCATTGTTTCATCGAAACAGACTTCATACGTTTTTGAAAGTGCAGCAGTTCTTCTCTGCTGCTCCATAGCTTTTACGTTCTTACTTTAGTCTGAATTTTTTTAAACAAAATTTGTAGAGAATTTTGTATTCTACAATATTGATAATAAATACAAATAGCAAAAAACCCATAGGAAATGAGATATTAACAAAAAAAGCGCAAAAACCCATTTTTGTGACCTTTGACTTTGAAATTTAATAGTTGCGTACACCCTACTATATGTAGGTTTTGAGACAACTTTTAGGGTGTCAATATACAAGTATTTACAGACTTACAGCTGGGTATCTCGAATTCCGAGATTCTTACCTAATTTAAGCTTAAATGACTGGACTATTACCTAAATTAGGGGAACCAGAATCGTATTTGCTTTTCTCGGTGCATTGCGAGATATTGTTACAACGCAGTTCGATTTATTAGAGGGTTTTACATTATTTTTATATTTTATTTTAGTGAATAGGTTTAGTTAGATTAAATTACATTTAAGAGTATAGAGGTGTGAAATATAAATACAAATAACGAAAAAATAGACGATTGGCTCGAATAAGGTAATATCAATTAATACAGGGTATTTATTTATTTATTGAGTGCCGATACTTAAGGGTGTGAATCCTTTGGGTGTTAAAGTTTTAAGAAAAAAAAAATAACTATTTTATCATAAGTTTCTTATCACTCTAGATATTTTTATGAAATTTTTTCCAAAAAAAGTGTTTCCACTCATGGTGGGTTCCTACCAAATTTCAACAAAATATCAAAAGCAGTTTCAATATACTGGTTTTCATTTTCTTACCCGAAAAGGGTGCTTCGTACGAAAGTACGTCATAAACCAAATTTGCTCCAAAATATATAAGAATTTTAAAGATAATTTTGGTTTTTAGAAAAAGCAGTGGTTTTTTTTCAAAAGCATTCAGTTCAAACCCGGCACGGACGTCACTGGTAAAAATTTAAAAGTCTTTTACGACAAAAGGCGAGATTGAAATTGAAAGTTTAGTCTGTTGGTACATAATATACTATATTTATATATCTAATTTTTATTATTACACTGAATGTGACATGGCTTTTTTTTGCCTTTTTTGGATCAACAAAATATTATTTTAATGATTTAAAATAAACTGCCAGTAATAATAATAATAATTATCTGTACTTAAACATATGCAAAAAGAAATCATAAAACGACGCATAAAGAAAGCACCAAATTATTAAACTTTTAATTTCCGTAAGATGTGTTGAAAGTAATTTTAAAAAACCGACTTTAAAATCGTGCAGATGCCATCACCACATCTAAACCAAATTTA